ATGGGAAAAAGACTGGAAATAAATTATTTGCATTGATATGTCCTGATGACAATTTTAAAGGAAACAAAAAAAGTGTTTGCATAAATTGAAGAATTATTTCCTATGTTGTGATTGAGAGGTTATGTTGGGGGAGGGGGGCGATGACAACTTCCTCATTGGCTCAAGGGGGCGATTCGTTCAAAAAGGTTAAGAACCACTGCTCTAGAGGGTCAATCAGCCCCCATCTGGCTGAATTTTAGGAAAGCAACTAAGTTGATTGTGTTCTTCTCAGCCCTTAGGAATTAAATGATATTTGGGTAGTTTTAGGTTGCCTTTTTATTGACTTTAATGTTATATTGATCATTTGCCTGTTTTAGTTAGTACTTTCTATGTTAATATTATTTTTTAATATTTTTACTTGCAATAAAGGGGTCAAAATTTGGGGATACAATTTTTTTGTAATAAACAATAAATTAAGTAAAATTCCCATCTTTCCTGTCATTTAGGGCAACTCTGCTAGCAAGAAAGCCCCTAAAGTAGAGAAGTTAATGAAACTATATTTCATTCATGGATTTAAAAGTTCCAAAGTAGTTTGGGGGCAATAGTTTGTAATTTTATTAATATCTGGAATTAGGGCCTATAAAATGCTTTTTGTACTGGATATGTATTTGAACGTAAAACAGAAAAGTAATCGCCAAGTTAGGTAAGAATGACAATGAATATACAATATCTCTAAACTCATATTTTTGTTTCATTTTTAAAAATGTACAAATTATGTCAGATTTAGTATTTTCTTTCATTTTCAGGGCAAAATGTTTTTGGTGGGATTGACAGGTGGCATTGCATCAGGGAAAAGTACAGTAGTAACTCTGTTGCAGGAGCTGGGTTGTGCTATTATTGATGCTGATGTTATAGCTCGTCAAGGTAAGTTTTCTATGAAGTTATTTGTTTGCAGATCAATATGATTTATCAGAGAATTAGCTTAGTATTGGGAACCTTTTTTCCACAAAGATTCATGGGTACTTTGGTCCCACGCCCTCTATTGCTTAAATAAGGGTTTCTT